GAGAATGCTCAGACACGAAATCTATCCGCCTGAAAATAAGTGTGTGTGTGTGTGGGGGGGGAATTTTAACAGAGGGAAGACATAGGGAGAAGGCAAAGCGACGGAAGATCCTTCAGGGGAAACTGAGGGGGAGACTCACCCTTGGTCCAGATGAGCCCCCCCTAACGAAGCAGCGGCAGCCAGCAAGGGCAGGCAAGCCCCGCTTCGCGGACTCCGTCCGTCCTCGCTCCCACCCACCCACCCAAAGCCACGAAGTCCCCCAAACGCACAGCCCAGAATCGCCTTCCCCTCAGGGGGCAGCAACGACGCCCGGTGTCTCCTGAAACAAGAAGCTCCGCCGTGCAATGAAAGCGCCCTGGCTCTAGGCTCAGAAAACAACATGAGCCGAGGTGGCTTTGTTTCCTCAGCCCCAGCTACTTTCAGTCCGCTCAGGAGGAGGAGGTGGTGGCGGCAGCGGCTCGCATTGTTTTCTGGGCTCTAGGCTCACGATCTCAGAAAACAACGCGAGCCAAGGTGGCTTCGTTTCCTCAGCCCCAGCTGCTTTCAGTCCGTTCGGGAGGAGGAGGTGGCGGCAGCGGCTCGCGTTGTTTTCGGGGTCCTGGGCTGGGGTCCTAAGAAAACGCAAGCCGAGGTGGCTTCATTTCCTCAGCCCCAACTGCTTTCAGTCCGCTCAGGAGGAGGAGGAGGAGGTGGTGGCAGCGGCTCGCGTTATTTTCTGAGCTCTAGGCTCGCGATCTCAGAGAACAACGTGAGCCAAGGTGGCTTCGTTTCCTCAGCCCCAGCTGCTTTCAGTCCGCTCGGGAGGAGGGGGAGGAGGAGGTGGCGGCGGCTCGCGTTGTTTTCTGAGATCGCGAGCCTAGAGCCTAGAGCCCAGAAAATAACGCGAGACGCTGCCGCCACCTCCTCCTCCTCCTGAGTGGACTGAAAGCAGCTGGGGCTGAGGAAACGAAGCCACCTCGGCTCACGTTGTTTTCTGAGCCTAGAGCCAGGGCGCTTTCATTGCACGGCGGAGCTTCTTGTTTCAGGAAACACCGGGCGTCGTTGCTGCCCCCTGAGGGGAAGGCGATTCTGGGCTGTGCGATTGGGGGACTTCGTGGCTTTGGGTGGGTGGGTGGGAGCGAGGATGGACGGAGTCCGCGAAGCGGGGCTTGCCTGCCCTTGCTGGCTGCCTCTGCTTCCTTAGGGGGGGCTCATCTGGACCAAGGGTGAGTCTCCCCCTCAGTTTCCCCTGAAGGATCTTCCGTCGCTTTTGCCTTCTCCCTATGTCTTCCCTCTGTTAAAATCCCACCCAAACACACACACTTATTTTCAGGCGGATAGATTTCGTGTCTGAGCATTCTCACATGACGGTGGGTCTTTCCCCCCCAAAAAAACAGTTGAATAAAGAAAAAACAATATATCTTCATGCAAGAACTTTTCTGCTTCCGATTACCCCCATGCTTACAAGTTGCAAAGGAAACACGGAAGCAGGGAAGCGGCTTCCCAGCTCCGGAGCTCCACACCATTTTTCTTTCAGAGGGAATCTCACTCGAGTATAAGCCAAGGGGTGTTTTTCAGCACAAAAAATGTGCTGAAAAACTCATCTTATACTCGAGTCAATAAATTTTCCCAGTTTTTTGTGGCAAAATTAGGTGCCTCGGCTTATATTCAGGTCGACTTATACTCGAGTATATATGGTATACAAAAAGGAAGAGGTTAATGAGGATAGAATAAGAAAGATAAAGTAATCAGGGAAGAATTGATAGAATTATTAAATAAAGACATTACTTGGTCCCAATTGAAATCAGCAATAGAGAATCAGGGAAATAATAAAGCCCCAGGGCCAGATGGGATCCCGGGAGAACTATATAAGGTAATTGCGGAACAAATTGGACCTCTTATGATGGAAGTGTTTAACGATGTCTTATTGGCAGCCAAAATGCCAGGGTCATGGAGGGGAGCATTGATTCGCTGATCCCAAAGGAGGAATCTGATCTTAGATATATTAACAACTACAGACCAATTTCACTCCTAAACACCGACTACAAAGTATTTACCTTCATCATAGCTAACAGATTAAAACAGATTTTAAATCTGTATATACATGAAGACCAAAATGGATTTCTCCTGACTAGACAGATAAGGAATAATTTAAGAACAGTAGTAGATGTTTTAGAATTTTATGAAGCCCACCCCAAAAAACAAACTGCACTTATGTTTCTAGATGCCGAAAAGGCATTCGATAATTTAAACTGGCAATTTCTAATTCAAAAAATTTATAATATGAATTTAGGCACTAAATTTGAAAACATCATAACAACAATTTACGATACACAGCAGGCTAATATCATAATAAACGGGGAATATACTCGCCCAATAAAAATAGAAAAAGGAGTTAGGCAAGGTTGCCCACTCTCACCCCTGCTCTTCATATTCTCTCTAGAAACGTTATTAACACAAATTAGACAAAACCCAGAGATTAAAGGATTAAAGATTAAGAAAGAAGAATACAAACTGCAAGCATTTGCCGATGATATGTTTTTTTTTATGGAGGAACCAATAGAAAGAGAACAAAAATTGATAAACGAACTAGAACAATTCGGTGCGGTAGCAGGACTTAAAATTAATAGGAAGAAAACAAAACTAATGACTAAAAATTTAACAGAAAAACAGAAAAAAGATTTAGAAGAAGTTCATGGGAATACAGGTGACAAAGAAAGTTAAATATTTAGAAATATGGCTAACACCACACTGCAAGACACTTAAGGAGAATAATTATGACAAATGGTTGCAACAAGTAAAGAAAGATCTAGAATCATGGGGCAGGCTACAACTTTCATTATTGGGCAGGATTGCTTCTATTAAAATGAATATTCTCCCAAAATTTTTGTACTTATTTCAGACGATTCCAATTAAACTACACAGAAATTTTTTTGAAGAATTTAACAAAATAACTGTTAAATTTATTTGGCAAGGGAAAAAATCTAGAATAAATTTAAAGGCAATGCAGGATTTGAAGAGCATGGGAGGGTTGGCACTTCCAAATTGGGTATTATATTATACGGCAGCCTCTCTAGTATGGTTAAAAGATTGACTGAATTTAATCAATAAGAGAACGTTATTGTTAGAAGGCCACGATTTGCAGAGAGGGTGGCATGCCTTTTTATGGGAGGTAGGGAAAGTTAATCAGACATATTTCCATAGACATTTAATTAGAGATTCACTATTAACCAATTGGAAAAAAATACGGAAAAGACACTACCTAAAAGTACCGATTTGGTTATCGACAATGGAGGCCATGATTCACCCAAACAATTTGGACATTACCAAAATGATTAAATATAAGGAATTATTGGATACACAAGGAAATTTGAAATCGCGACAAGAGCTGCAAGAGTGGGGATTTAAAATCGATCAGTGGGTATATCTCCAAATTCATAATAGATACAAACAGGATAGAAAAGAATTCGGAATCAACAATAAATTCCAGCAATTAGACAAAATTTTACTAGGATCAGACAAGAAAAATATAACTAAATTTTACAAGTATCTATTAGAAGTAGAGTTAGAAGAAGAGACAGTTAAAGGGAATACGATAGCCTGGAGTAGGAACGTAGGACGGAGTATCACATTAATAGAATGGGAAAAGATCTGGAGTAGAAACAAGATCACAAAATTGGCAGCATATAAAGAAAACGCTTATAAAATGTTTTACACATGGCACCTTCCTCCCTTGAGATTAGCGAAGATGCCCCCCAACATGAGTCCAAAATGTTGGAAATGTAAAAGAATAGATGGAACCTTTTTTCATATGTGGTGGTCCTGTAAAGAAACCCATAAATACTGGCAGAGAATTAGAAATTGGCTGGAAGATATAACAAAAGAACAGATTGAGTATAAACCAGAGTCCTTCCTGTTAGGGATTTTCGATAAACAGCTACCTAAAAAAATGAAGTACATTACAATACACATATTAACAGCAGCCAGACTAGCGTTTGCTCAATGTTGGAAGCTACCTCACATACCTACAGAACAGATGATCATCCAAAAAATCTCAGATTGTGCAGAAATGGACAAACTAACTCTAGCCTTAAAAAATAAAGATTCTTCAATATATTATAACAATTGGAATTGCTGGTATAAATGGTTAGACCAAAGACAGATTTTATATCATAAGGTAAAAAAAGAATAGGACAAATCTATATGAGTGATATATAAACATATATATATGGATGAGGTGTGCGTATATGGCATAAATCAAGAAGAGAAAAGATCTTACAAACTGTCGAAAATGAGAGTGTTTTTAAGTGTTCATTTTTCCTTTTTTCTTTTTTTCTCCTTTTTTCTTTTTCTTTTCTTTTTTGCTCTTCTATTTGTATATGTGTTGTTGATTTGTTTTTAATTGTAAAATTAATAAAATTTGTTTTTAAAAAATAAATAAAATAATAGCTGAAGTCCAGGAGTCTGTATCATAAAATTTATTTTCAGCCCAACTGGGCATTCTATCAATACACCATAAGCACACCTATTTTTCCCACTGAGATTAACTGTTTAGAGCAGTGGTAGTCAACCTGGTCCCTACCGCCCACTAGTGGGCATTCTAGCTTTCATGGTGGGTGGTAAGGGTTTTGTCCCCTACTTTATAAATCACCATTACTGTGGAACCAGCGGGCGGTTAGAGAAAATTTTACTACTAACAGAGATACAAAAGTGGGCGGTAGGTATAAAAAGGTTGACTACCCCTGGTTTACAGCATTCCTCCTGAATGGAAGAAAAAAAACATATTAATGCATAAAGACATTGGACAAACTAAGAATATATAATTCTGCTTTGTTTACATAAAGGATTAAAATTATTAACCCACAGTAGTGGGAAGAAACAGGTGTTGTTAATATAAGATTTGAAGAAAAATAGATAATCGCTACTCTGTGAGGAAGAATGATAATCGACTAAAATGCAATGTATTATTAAGTATTAACCTTGCAAATACAAATTAGAAATAAAAGAAATAAAATACTCACCAATGTGTCTGTGTGGGAATACTGATATCCCTTTTCTTTTAATGGATTTAGTATTATTTTTCCAGAAGCAAAGAAAGGTGTATTCAAGTATTTATAAATGGACAATATTTCATTACTAATGCAAAACACAGGTGATCTACCATTATGCACGCATTCTGTTATGAAATCAGAAAAAATAATATTAACAGAAGGAAATATTAGATAATACATATTGCATGATTGCATATTCATTCATAGGCAAAAATCTGTTTACATTTTCATAAAATAATGACAAAGAAGCCATAAACACATTCTACACCTAGGCAATATCAAAACTGTGGAGTATATACTCTATTCAAGGTTGAGAATATTTTATATATAAAAATGGGTTAAGATTCTGCTTTGGTCCACTGTGTGGTAAATTACACTCCGTAGAATTTGTACCATTTTTGAATGTAGTGCAATAATAACTGCACAAAATTTTACAATGCTTATCGAAGTTTTGGTTGTTGACTTATCTCCTGAGGTACAGAATATTATTTAAGTTGACAGTAGATTGGCATAAGAAAGAAGAGTAGAATTTTGTGCCAAAGTGAGTAAGGAGGCAATACAAGAGGATACATATATACCGTGTTTTCCTGAAAAGAAGACCCAGTCTTATTTTCTTTTGACCTCTGAAATAAGCACCAGGGCTTATTTGGTTTTTTCTTTTCTTTTTTTCTTTTTGGCCTTCAGGGCAACTCAGTGTCCCAGAGAAACGACTTGACATTTGAATTTTGATATAAGATGATTTATTCTCTACTATTGTAATGCTATCAATTTTCCAAGATGATAGCATGAAACAGAATTCTGGAGAACACAATTCATTTTATTTAACATAGTTGATGTGAAGACCGTTCTCTCTATCTACCACAATGATCCAAATTTTCTCACACGTATTATAATAATATAAAAAGAATAGGCCAAATCTTCTCTCAGGTGTAATAATGATATAAAAAGAATGGCACATCACCTGCACAGAGGATCAAGACAGCTCTATTGGTTATTGAAGTAAACTATCATTCAGATCTTAACAGCCTTTTAAACAGGGATGTTAGTGTACAACTCAGTTTTAGCCCTCACTGAGTGGGAACAGAGCAGTAAGAACAGGGTGGGAATCAAATTTCATGGAATTATTTTCACAAAATATGAAGAGTAAAGAATGACATTGGTCATTTACTGTGATCATACCCAATACACTTTTCTCCTATTTTCTCCACAATAACTCTGAGGTGAGGTGAGTGAGTGACTGGCCCAAGGTCACCCAGCTGGCTTTCATGGCCAAGATAGGATTTGATCTCCTGCTTTTTTAGTCTAGTGCCTTAATCTCTTGATCAAACTGATTTTGAGTACTGACTGAGTCAAACACACTTGTAAATCAATGAAAATGACATAAAAATTGCCATTAAGTATAAATATTTGGTTATATACTAGAGAACTGACAACGGTTGATGGATAAATTGCCTTCTGAAAGTCCAGTTTGCTCATTGCAATGGTGTCACTTTGTGTCTAGAAGTCCACCAACTCTGTCTATCACAGAGTAATTGGGTAATTTGTATAGATTTTGGAACTTTTAAAAATATTAACACTTGATAGATTTTTTACTTGACAGTTATTATTTAAAATGTGTTATTTGGCTACAGCCAAAATTTACCTATTTATATTGACCTATAAGATGAGCTAGAAGTATATATTTTTCTTTTTTTTTTTAGCTGGGAGACAATCTCCAAAGCCCAGATTGGTATGCCTTCAGGAAAAGTGTTACAAATAGTATTGGAAATGATTGGTGTATATGCTGATGAAGCCAGGGGACCTAGATAAAAAACATGAAATATCAGTATCCATGTAAGAAAATGATTGTAGCTTGTGAATGACTCGTATCAGAATAGAGCACTGTTTCTCATATTTGTACAAGGTGATGGTTAGGGTGGCCTTCACTCACGTGGGAGCACCGGAAACCAGAAGAGCAGCTCCCAGTGCGCATATGCATGCTAGCCAACTGCTCTTCCTGCGCACATGCGCATTAGAAACTGGAAGACCAGGTGGCCGGTACACATGTGTGTGCCAGGAACTACTCTTCTGGTTTCTGGTGTGCATGTGTGCGCGCATGCAGAGGTTTCAGCATTCAGTGCCTTTTTGGTGCACATGTGCTCCCTTTTCGGTCTAGATATTAATATATAAAGTATTTATTTTATGAATCCACTTATTTTAAAATATATCTTGTAACTCAACGTATTTTTTTGAATTTCTTATATCTTACAAAATTAACCACACATCATCAGATAACAGATAATCAGAGTTGGAAGGGACCTCGTAAGTCATCTAGTCCAACCCCCCCGCCCATATCCTATGTATATCATATTATGTGTTCTTTTTATGCATCTTTATTGCTGCTATCTATATATTTCATACCACACATTAAATAAATCTCATATTTATCATAAGCATTTTAAAAACTATGTCATCACTCACCTTGAAGAATTTGTTGATTAGATGCTTTATCAAAAACAACAGCTGGCTGAGGAAAATGTTCCTTGAAAGTTGAGTTAACGTGCAAATTCTCTGCAAAACAAAATACAGAGGGTTAGCCTGAAGAGCAGACATAGTTATAGGTAATCTTAAATGGGACCAGAATTTCCATTGCTAAGTGATACAATTGTAGGATGCAATGTCATGTGTCCACATAGCTTAGCAGTAGCAATCTCAGCAATCCACATTGCGTTTGTTAAGTGAGGATGATGGGTTGTTAAGTGAGGATTTCACTTGGCCACGATTTGTGAGTTCCCACTGCTTCCAAAAAACAAAGTCAATGGGGAAATTGACAGGAAGTTATTTATAAGTCCGAATCACAAATCTTTCTTTAAGTGCTAAGCAAAGACTACGTTGATTTTCTATACTTCTATTAAGTAACAGGCCTATAAATCTTACTAGTGCAGATTTAAACAAAAATCAAAAAGATAAATATATTTATAAATCATATATTTTGAATAAGGCATATCAATTAGTCTGCCTCTACACTAATATGATCTTTTTTGACATCTACCAAACTATATGTTCACTTAATTTTTACACTTAAATAATAATTTATAATGAGCCAAGGAACAAAGCATAACTCCCCAGCTTCATCTTCAAGTTAGTGGGGAAGATGATAGGAAGTTGAGAATCCCAGGCAGCTCACAAGCAGGCTACCAGGCACAAGCATAATAGGACTTTGGGGGCTACTTCAGGAGGGTGAATGAGGACAAGTTTGGTGCAAATGTGGAGGACTTGGCTAGCTGCTGTAGTTGCAGGAGGGCATATGTGGGGCAGGTGTAGCATGAGCACAACAAGGCTTGGAATGGCTGTTGCAAGATGGGAGAAGGCACACAAGGGCGAGTGCAATATGAGGAAAATTCATTGGGGCATATGAGGTGCAAGTGAGAAGCTGCTGCAGGATGAGGAGGTTGTGCAAGCACCATAGTGGTGCAGATTGCAGTGACTACTACAGGAGGCAGGAGGCAGTGACAGAAGTGTGACATGAGCACAGTAGGGCTTAGGGTGCCTGCGATAAAGCAGATGAGGGCATGTAATGCTAATCAGGTGTCCATGGGATGCTGCAACCATCCTATGTGTGAGCTGGTTGCCAGATTAGACACAACTGTGGGAATGCTAGAATGACCACTTATAATTTAGAAAGATTGCCCGATCTACAAACATAATGTTCTGATGACCATACCGATTTCTGGAACAGATTTCATAACAATTTTCGCTTTAGGTTTCCTAGGTTCTCTTTGTTCAGGTGCTATTATTCCACCAATTACAAAGTCTCCTGAAGCAATAGAAAAATTAATTGTGATCTATATAATACCAATTATAAATTGTTTTACTTAAGATGGGATGGAATTATGGAATAACTGGGTTACCAACAGCAAATTAGTACCAAGTCTATAACTTAATGATGACTTTGTTTTCACCTATAATTTCATAATGACACTTTCAAATGTAGACACTAACATTTGTGAGATTATTTTCTTAAAATAAAACAGTGCCATTATGCAGAGACAACATAAGGGAAAATATAGGCTAACCGCATCACCAGTAACTTGGAAGTTACTCTAAGTATACATACCACATATACTTCCTGTTAAACTTTCCTACATAATATGATTTAAAAAGAAAACAATTCCATTTCTTAATTGAAATAGAATCAGGACTAAAAATCTTTGAGCTTTAAGTCAAAGGTCTCATGATATTTCATTGTTATTCAAACAATTCTGGATTCCAATTTTTTGTATTAAAAATACAAAACAATCTAAATCATTCTAATCCAAATTTTACTAGTTTGTTGTAGTGGTTAAGGTGTTGAAACCAGGAGACTATAAATTTTAGACCCATTTTAGGCATTAAAAAAAAGCTGTTTGAGCTGGCCAAATAATTCTGTCTCAGCCTGATTATCTAGTATATCTGTATAAATACATATATTTCCCAAGTAGCTTGCACATGCAGGCAATGTTGGACCTTTGCATTTAGAAATAAATGGGTTTCAGAAGAATGTCCTTAGCAAAAATTTAGAGAGCTTGAATTTCTGTGCAGTATACATTTAGCTGGAGCAGAACACTTAGGTTCAAAGTAAGGGTGTGCCCATCTTTTAGATTTTTTTAGTTTGCGTGTCCCAAACAACAACTTCTTCATTCAAAGCAACTAATTCATTCAGGAATTACATACCTGAAGTGTCCATCTTATAATAAACACGTTCTCCTCGCCAATATTCCAATGGTTTAATACGTATTCTTTTGGACCGTCGAAGATTGTGTGTGTTTGCAGGCAATACTATCAGAAAGGAAATGTATAAAAATATGAATAGGTATCTGTGTATACATACCATACATACATACATATATATACATATATACACACAATGTGTGTTTGTGTATGTACAGATATATATAAAGACAAATATTTATTAAGTCATTCTTTTTTTCCCTATTTATTTATTTTATTTTATTATAAGAATACAACACGGTGCAGCTGTTCCGGCATCACAATTGCTATACATACCATATATACTTGAGTATAAGTCGACCCGAATATAAGCCGAGGCAGCTAATTTTACCACAAAAAACTGGGAAAACTTATTGACTCGAGTATAAGCCTAGGGTGGGAAATGCAGCAGCTACTGGTAAATTTCTCTTTGAAAGAGACCAGTAAATGAAGATGAAGAAAAAGAAGTGTGTTTTTTCACTTTCCACACTGCAGTGAACAAAAATGGCATCATAGGAACAGGCTTATTTTCAGTCCAAAGGTTTGTTTCTGATTTCTTCCCTGATTTAAGGGAAATTTGGGAAACGATCTCACTATCATGAAAGGTTTAATTGATTCACTAACCCAAAAGAAGATGATGATGACGACAGTGGGAGGCAGGAGTCA